AAATTCCTTGAAAATTAATAGCGGCAAATACGAAGCTGCTTATTTTTTTCTCATTTCTCCATATTTACAAACTACATAAGAAAAGGGTTGCCATTAGGAATTATTAAATCATAGTGCTGATTACTCAAATAAAAGTAAAAAAAAAATAATAAAATGAATCCAAAATTAGACAAAGAATTTTCCATTCATTAGCAGAATTTAAAACCAATATAGCATCAAGCTCTTGATTTGTTTTTTACTGGCATAAAATTAAATTTGATATATAGCACATCTGTTTGTACAGCGTGCCCGAAATACCGAAAAATGGGTATGTTTATATGAGGTCACCTCTGAAACGTATGCTAATATTTATAGATTTTGGTATGAGTGTTTCGTAGCCAATCATAATACAAATATTAAATTACAGTCAAATTGGTTGAAATCGAGTTCAAAATATCGAAAATAACTACATTTCGGGAGGAATGTGGGGACTAATATAACAAGTGGAACAAAATTTTAAAAATTTAAAGGAAGATTTAAAAATTTTAACCCCAATCTGACCCCAGAACTGAAATAAAGATTTTGTTCTTCTCTAAAATAGAAAAGATTTCTTGAAAAAAAATGAGCTATAATATTCGAAATATCTCATACAATACAGTTTTTACAATGAACTGAATTTGGGTGCCATCAGCCTTAAGGGTAATCAGGGACGGCTGGTGACGTGCGGCATATTTGTCGCGCTGATAACATTTGCAAGAAATTGCCGATTTAATTCAGACCCTGAAATCAAAATATTTCTTCCAAACTAAAATCAAGTTCGAGGATAAAGAAGATTCTGTTACCTCTACTACAAAATTTGAAAAATGTTGCTGAAAAATAAATTTGCAATATAAATTTGTAGAACATGATATATGCCCTGAACCTTTGAGTCCGAATATGGGATTTGTCGGTCCACTTTTTTATAGATTCCCCTCAAAGAGTCAACATTTTGAAAATATGTCAATAACTTCCGAAGTTGAAAGCTATTGATTCCATTCTTTTGGCAGTTAAAGACTTTATACATTTAAAAACTGTAAATCTAGATCTATTCGGTAAAATGGGTCCACTCCTCCATAAATTGTCAACATCTACTTATTTCCTATATTTACTTCTCAGTCTCTTAGTAGCACATAAGTCTGGCTCTGATAATCTGCAGACATTTCACATAAAATTTGAAATAAGTCCAATTGGCTCAGTCCAATTGGCTAGGAAGGTCACTTTAAGGTGGTCCAACTCAAAATGGGTATCTGTTACCTTTGGATAAGTATGGAACGTGAATTAGTGTATCAGCTAAATATAAATAGTGTATCAGCTCCTAAAGTGGAATTGAAGAGTCCTCCGGCGTACAATATTTGGCATACAATCACTTTATTTTCTTTCCGCACATTAAGAAAAACACCATTGTTAACGACCGTCTTCCCTAGAAGATGCCGTTGATGTATTCAATACTCATACTTTGGAGGTCTCCCACTCGTAGTGGAAAAATGTGCTATATAAAAATTTCCTCATTTTAAGGTTCAATTTAAAAATTATAATATGGCAACCCTGCTGGGGTCGCCATGCAATGCATTTGCTGTTGCATACGTCGGGGTTTCTTCTTATATATACAGATGTGTAAATAAAATGATATGAATATTAGGATGGCATGAATGTAATATTCATATTTCAAATTTACAAAAAAAAAAAAAATTAAATCACAGAACAATTTTCTGTTCACAAAAATTATCCTAAGTAGGAAAGGAAAAAATTGACAATGCTACATCCTTGCATCCTATTGTGCATCTACATACTTTTTACAAAAAACAAAAATAATTCTGATGACAGAATTCCTATAATTCGAATACGAAGCAATTTAAATAATTTGGACCGTATACACACATTAGTACTGTACACATTTTTTTCCTCGTCTCTATATTGGAAAACTCATAACATTTCCAAAAATTTGATTTTTTTAGATTTTTCTTTTGGTATGTGTTGTCCACAATCAGGACTTGAAATCCAAAGAATATATCGACGTCTCCGAATCATAGTATGCATATTTTAAAGTTCTTCACGATTTTAGATACTACGGTCCTTAATTTACATTCACTGAAATTTTGGTAATCATCGGCCAATCCAAACCAAAGTTATAAGCAAAAATTTACTTAGCATGGCACGTACGATTGAATAAACTTGCATACTTTGAAAGCTTCTACTGAAAAACTCACTTTTTTCAGACTTAAAAGTTCTTTACGTTTTTAGATACTACGGTCCTTAATTTAAATTCACTGAAATTTTGGTAATCCTCGGCCAATCCAAACCAATGTTATAAGCAAAAATGTAGTATAGTAGTAAAATTCTATAGCTATCGGCGATTATATTTTCACACTCTAGAAAATATAAATTTTTATAATTGTTATCATTTAAAAGGTCAACACCTCTTCTTAGATATACTATCAACTTATCGGGTCTACGTCCTTCAGTGGTCACTATATGCGCAATAGAATGCAAAATGTTGTAATTTTTCACACAAAATTCTGGGTTAATTTGAAACGCTAAATAGTGACCGATTATTATGAAGCGGACATTGGTTTTTCTTTGGCCAGATCCTTTTCTCTGTGTAAAATTTCGTGATATCCGATTCATAACGGATAATTACAAAAAAAATGAATCATTACAAAAACAATAGGTGTATTCTTTGGTCAAAGAAGGAACCTACATGCAAGATTCCGTGAAGATTGGTCCATAATTGTGGTCTGTATTGTGTTTAAAAATTGTAATGGACACGCGGACGGACACACATGACTAGATCGACTCAACTAGTTGAGATGTGACGATCGGTGTACAAAAAGGTGGGTCTATGAGCAATATTTCGCGACGTTACAAACTCTTGGGGCCACTCAAAGCTATAATACCCTGACAACATAGTTGCGTAGATCATAAAAATTAAAAAAAAAACTCAAATCCAAATGGAGGTGATATGCATTATTAAACCTGATTATATCACAAAAATAAAAACCTATAGGTGAACTGTAAGACCCAAAGAAACAACAATATTTCTGGATCTGCGACTGTTTATGTACGCAACGGTTTATTCTGAATAGCAGATCAAGAAGATTTGACCAAACCATAAATCCAGTCAAAAATGTATAAAAACCTGTCATTTGGCGTTGGTAGTGAGTACTCGCCTTAATACATCATTGAGGACCGAGTGCGTATGAATAACAATCACTTCTTAACGCACATAACGTATACGGCACATAAAACCTTCCTTAACACACACAACATGAAAATAGGGGGAAAGGTTAAATTCCACATAAAATTGGCCTCTCGATTGTTGCAACGAATTAATTATATTTTTGCAGAGTCATCTTCAGGGGCTGGCAACTTTTTCGAGACAGTTTTTCCAAACGTGATTATAACCAGTAAAGGACTTCAACCGCTGTTAAATTCTCCGGACAATGTCTTTGCGCCTTTGGATGGAGGTTAAGTACATTGTATAGAATTTTTTAGAATAGTTTGACCTGGTAAACAAAAATAAAATAAATAAATAAATAAAACAAGTGAAAATTTTTAATGGATAATTATACCCTCAGCTTTATGGCTAATGAGGATGTATACACTTTGACACGGTTAAAATGTGCCTTATCGAAATATTGGTTCTATACCCCATGTTTCTTTGGACCAAATTTGTTTCAGAATCTTTTGATTTCATCCAAACATTGTCCATCTTATTATTTCTTCCAAATTTAGTTCAAGTTCGAAGATGGGGAATATCGGTCCACTCCTTCTGATACCTCCCAAGGGCTAGGCCTAAATACGGGTTATAGTTCATATATAGTTCATTATCGAATCTTACGTTCTAGTTTTTTATCTCCATATCATCCGCAGGTGATATGAACAAATTGCATAACTATTTTAATATTAAAAGGGGGTTATATGGGGACTTACCATACCATTCGGTTAAAAAACGTGCTCAAGAACCCCAAAATAGCGAAAATTGTGGGTGCCCTTATATGGGGGCTTCCAGAAAAATTGGAACTATATTTTTAATTTTCAGTGAAGATATTTGGCACTCTAAAGGATCCAAATGTACCAAATTTCAGCGAATTCGGTTGAAACACACGCTCAAGAACCCCAAAATACCGAAATTTGGGGGGTACCCTTATATGGGGGCTGTCCGAAAAAATGGACATATATTCATAATTTTTAGTGGACAGATTTGTTACCCAATAAGAACTCAAAGTAATAAATTACAGCCAATTCGGTGGAAAACTACGATCAAAACCCCCAAAATACTGAAAATTATAAGGTACCGTTATATGGGGCCTACCAGAAAAAGTGGGCCTAAATTTATAATTTTTTTTTGTAGGGACATTAAGTACCCAATAAGAACGAAATGTACCAAATTTCAGCGATTAGAATTTTAGATCACCTTAGAATTTTACGCTGATCACTTTATAGGGTCGGAAATGATTATTTCGATGAGTTACAAACGGAAAAACAAAATTAATATACCCTCCATACTATGGTGGAGGGTATAATTATTAAAAATAAACAAATACAAAGTTTATAAAAACTGTAGATGTCGACTTTTGCCACGGCAGGTACTCAATGGGCATTATTGTGATGATGTTGATGGTTCAATTAATTAAATGCAAATCCAGTTTTTTTTTTAAACCGAGAATGGTGGAATTTGACATATCGAAGCTCAGTTTGGATATTCTAGGGTTTACTTTCAATATTCCTTTTTCAATTAAGTTCCGTTATTTATCTGGCCATTGACTCAAGATTTGTAAAATCTATGAGAGGGCAAATTTTGGTTGGGATTTTTTTATCAGTACATCCTATTATATCTGGTATATAATACAATATACATATATTATATATATACAAGTAAAATGAAAAATAGAGTTTAGTAGGTTGTTACGATAGCAGAAGGTCGGTCGTTTGGTCGGTCGCTAAATCTGTTCGTTCATAACATTTGACTTATACACATATAACTAAAACCTCGTGCCACATGACATACGTTCCTGTTGTTGTTGCAACAAACTACAATCGGCTGTAAATGTTCGTAGAAACGACGAAAATGAATCAATGCAATATTGCAGCAATTTTACCTTTAAGCCACCACCACCACCGCTACCAACACCCAGAACATCTTCAAATCAAGCAAACCAACTGGGATCAACACCAGTAATATTTTAGTTTCAATATTTTTTTCTTTTTTTTCATATTTTGTTGTTGTTAGTATTGTCTCGTTGGCCTCCTTTTTTGCTATTTCAATTTCATTGTATAGTTTTTTCTCTTTTCGAAAATATAAAAGTGTTGTTGCTAAAATCAACAGCAACAAATAAGAGAAAATTGTTACTGCCTTAGTAATACTAACAATAATGTTGCTCATTGATGATGACGACGACGATAATGATAATTGTAGTGGTGGTTGAAAATGTTTCAGGGTTGCTGGTTACTGGCTGTGGTATTACTCCTGGTTGGTGGTGGTCGTCATCGTCCTTGTTGTTGCTGTTGCTTTCGTTATATTGTAGTTATTGTTGCCTGGTGTTGTTGTTCTTGTTCTGATTGTTATTTAGTGGCACAACACTATCATTTGGTTATTGTGGCATTATACGTAGAGATAGCACGCTCTGGTTGCAGTTGCATTAACATTCATGTCCTTTATTCGGTTTTATGCGTAACAGCAGCAGCAACAACAATTGCAGTTAAATAAAAATGAAAATACATATACAACAATGGAGAGACAATGTAAAGGAAGAAGAACTAGTAGAAGGGCAAAAAATCGCCATAACATTACTACTTATTCGCATTCTTTACAGTTTATTATAAATATTTGGCTAATACCAGAGAAGCAGGCGGAATAAGAATACAAAACTAAAGCTTCAACTACAACAAAAACTGCATCAGCTTCTAGTATACAGACGACGCAAACGACAACGATAACATTCATCCAGCCAGCTGCTTATTTCTATTTCAAATAGAAAGTATATAATGCAATGTTGTATGTATAACACCACCAGCACCACCACCACCATAGAAAATACATATGTTTTTCCATGTACATGCATATATTTATGTGACTGACCTACAGACTTACATATGTAATGAGAGAATTTACAATTTAAGAATAAAACAAAAAACAATACTCAACATCAAGAAAAAATTATATATGTATCTGGAAAAACATATTTTCATTTCTCTGTCAAAAGAATTTTTTGTCGTTTGAAAAAAAAATAGAAAAACTTTAGAGAATTGTGACTGCAGTCATGTAGAAAATTAAAAATATGTAGTTGGATTTCATTTTTTCCATTTTAAATTAGTGTCTGATTTTTTAGAGAGACAAAAGTGAAGGATACATACGTAATTTAGAATTACAGAAAAATAAACTATAATTATTTTGGGGGGATACTAAATATCAAAAGATTTGTAATGTAAAAAAATATTTTGAAAACACTATCAATAAAGTCTTTTAGAAAAATGGAGCATTTTATAGGTTTTGTACAAGCCTGTTAATAAGTTAATATTTGTAAAGGAAGTAAGCGAGGGTTTTTTAATAAATATTGCTTTCAAACATATTGTCGAAGGACCGAAAAAACCAAAAGCACGAATAGGATACATTTTTATTTTAGGACCAGTAACCGAAGACATTTTTAAAAATGTGTTTATCGATAAGCGTAGTTTTTAAACATATTTTCAGAGACTTTTTTTAAACAATTTTTAAATTACTATCTGTAAGCGTAAAATTTTTAAAAATATATTCTGAGGAACAATGAGGGTAAGGGTTTATTAGGCGCCGATTTTTAAAACATATTTTATGCATTATCCATAACCGTCCATAAAAGTAATTACTTAATAAGCTAACATACTTTAAGTAAGTTGGGATTTTTTTAAGGAATAATTCTATTAGAGGCTGATAGGAAGAGGTATTTTGTAATATTATCTAAGGCACTACATAAAGCATACATTTTGTTGAAATAGCATATAAAGGACTATCAGTAAGCTTGAACATTTAAAAAAAATCCTGAACGGCTCGAATAAACATTGATTTTATTAAATCAATTTTTGAACAGATTTTATAAACATATTTTTTTAAAGTACTACCATAAAAAACGTTTTTTTTCAGTAAGCGAGGATCTCAATCAGACACAAAATTCAGTACGCTAGGCCAAATTTTGTGCAAATCTAAAAATATGTAGGGTCTTTGGTGCACCATTTACATTAAATCGGACGAAAATATATATGTGAGCTCTATCTAAATCTGAACCGATTTTCAGGAAACTTAACACACATCGTTCTAGGGTTTATTCAGTACGCTATGCCAAATAACGTTCAAATCCATACGGGAGCTATATCTAAACCTGCACCGACTTTCAAGAAATTTTTCACACATCAATGTGTGAAATCTAAAGATATATGTTCTTTGTTACACCATTTACCATAAATCGGTCCAACATATATATGGGAGCTATATCTAAATCTGAACCGATTTTACACATATCATTCTAGACTCAAGTCAGTAAGCTCAGCCAAATTTCGTGAAAATCGAAAGATATATAGGGACTTTCGTGCACCATTTACTTTAGATCGGACGAAAATATATATGGGAGCTATATCTAAATCTGATCCGATGTTCACGAAACTTAACACACATTTAGTACGCTGTGCCAAATTTCGTGCAAATCGAAAGAAATCTAGACTTTCAATAAGGTTTTGACCTTGGGCCTAATGAGTGAGCTGTGCCAAATTTCATCCAATTCGAATAATAAATGCGACTGTACTTTGTTTACAATTTAACATGGACAGACAGACAGATGGAGAGACGGACGGACATGCATAAATCGACTAAGAAAGTGATTCTATACATATTCTCGAGAGGAACTAGCTCGTTTCCTTTTGCTTTTTACAAATATATGCACAAAGACATAATACCCTGTACTACAGTGTGGATTTTAGGAAACATTCTCAGAGGACTATAAATGGACATAGATTTTTTCCGATAATATTGTTTAGGAACCAGAAAGAGGCCTGGATTTTTTTTTAAAAAATTTCCCCAACTAATAAGCGAGGATTTTTAAAAATATTTGCTAATGAACATCGAATAAGCATTGGTGTCTTAAATATTATTTTTTTAATAAATATGCCTTAGCGTGATTTTTTTAATGTTTGTTACGGAACTTCGAATATGAAATGTTAAAACATGTGTTCTAAATAATCACCTTTAAGCGTTGAATTTGAAAAAAAATTCTAAAAGATAAAAATATATATAAACTTAAGACACATTTTTTGAAATTCGGCCCGTCCACTTCTTTATACACTTCATCATGAGGTGGACCTACAAAATAACTAAAATCGATGGGAAATTTATATGAGTGCTATGTAATGGTAAGCTGATGCCTGGAGAAGAAAAAATATCCAAATACGTATCCCGGAATGGCAAATTACAATCGCTTCGAATGAAAAATGCACCTAACACCATGAAATTTTGTATAGGGACTATATCTAATATTGAATTTTTACGACTTCTTCAATATCCTTCCTTTCACCAGAATAAAAATATCCATCCAGTTTTTAAGAAATATAATTTTACTTCAAGGACTACTTCTTCTCGGTTATCAATTATAAGCATATTTTACCCGCCTCATATATATTAAAAAAATCTACGCATTTCTTATATTAAATCTATTTCCCCAGCATTATTATAATTTTCTATCATGCCCTATTCCCAACATTACAAGAATTTTCTTCGCCTGTTTCTGTGTGTAAATATAAATTATAACTCTCTCTATCTAGCTGTGTGCGTGAGTGTATATGTGCGTTCAGTTGAGATTGTAAGCCAAAGCCAAGGATAAAGTTATTCCTTCATATCCGTAAGGATATTAAAATTGAATTTATGTGGTATTTTTAGTTATTGTTTAAGAATTTTAATTTCAATCTCATATCCGTTTTTATTACACTTTATAGTAGAAAGTTGTAGTAAAGTAAAAACAGAAAAATACAAGGAAGAAAGTGAAGTAGAAAAAGCAGAATGAGACATACAACTTAAATATAAATTACGAAATGCCTATTTTAGTTTGATAACAACGGGGTTTTTGTTGTTGAGGTTTGATTTAAAGGGATTTAGTGATAAATTGAAATTGAGAGATTTTTTGTTTAAATAAAAAATTTAAATTTATAGTTTTGTTCTGAAATGTAAAATATGTTGTCTTATTGCCTCTAACTATCGTTTTTTTATTGGCTCTAATATTAAACGAATCCCACAAAATAACCATCCACAGTACCTTGTTGCGTATCAGTATTTGTATATAAATCGAAAGAAAATGGTACACATACGCCCGGGAGATCTAAGGCTTATTTATATACATAATTAAAAAAGTAAGTTTTTAAAAATATATTCACATGGACTAGCTGTAAGTGCGGATTTTTCAAATATATTTACATGGAGTACCAAAAAGCATGGATGTTTTAAAAATATATTTATATTTATTTCCAGAAATCGTGGATATTTTATGGAAAAAAATTCCTCCGAATTCAAACCACATAAAATTAGGCGATAGCCTTCTATGGAGATTATGTCAAATAATTGAAGACTTTTCGGCAGGACACGATATCAAATTACAAAACCTTGAGACTACCGGAAAATAGGCCGATATCTTTATAAAGCAGATATCCGTATTTTATTCTCTGTAATACCTAAAGATCCTTAATGGAGATAGAACCATCAAGATATCAAACAAGTGAAAAAGCGGTAAGTTCGGCCGGGCCGAACTTTGGATACCCTCCACCATAGTTATATTGACAGGTACTATAAATGAAAATATAGGAAACATACCAAAAAGTGGACCTATACCGACATTTCTAAAAACGGATTATGTAAACCATAATAAAATTTTTCGAAATTTTTAAAGGATAATTATACCCTCAGCCTTATGGCTAATGAGGGTGTATATACTTTAACACGATGAAAATGTGCCTCATCGATATATTGGTTCTAGACCCCATGTTTCTTTGGATCAAATCCGTTTCAGAAAATTTAGATTTCATCCGAACTTTGCCCATCTTATTATTTCAAATTCGAAGATGGGGAATATCGGTCCACTCCTTCTGGAACCTCCAATCAGGGGCTAGGTCTAACTGCGGCTATAGTTC